TTTTTTTTTTTTTGACGTAGGCCTGTAGAACTATGAATTTCTCTCTCAGGACGGCTTTCATGGTGTCCCATAGATTTTGGATTATGTTTTCATTGTCATTCATTTTCAGAATGTTTTGAATTTCTTCCTTGATCTCTTTGGTAACCCAATCATTGTGTAATAGCATGTTATTCAGCCTCCAATGTTTGAATTTTTTTAATTGTAGTTGATTTCTAATATTATGCTATTGTGGTCTGAGAAGATGCTTGATATGATTTCAATCTTCTTGAATTTGGAGAGACTTTGCCTGTGATCCAATATGTGGTCTATCTTTGAAAATGTCCCATGTACACTTAAGAAGCATGTATATTCTGTAGCTTTGGGTGAAATGTTCTGAAGATGTCAATTAAATCCATCTAATCTAGTGAGTCACTTAGGATTGCTGTTTCTTTACTGATTTTTTTTGTCTAGAGGATTTATCTAGTGATGTCAGTGGGGTATTAAAGTCCCCTACTATGATTGTATCGCTGTCGATCTCTCCCTTGTTACCTTCCAGAAGTTTTTTTTTATGGATTTGGGTGCTCCTGCATTGGGTGCATATATATTTACCAGAGTCATATCCTCTTGTTGTATCAATCCCTTAAGTATTATGAAGTAGGCCTTTTGTTCTTTCCATCACCCTTTTATGTACATCTCTCTTGATTGTATGTTTCTTCCCCTCCATTTACAAGCTTTATTATCGTTATCAAACAGAGAAGCTCCTTTTTACTGTAAGACTGTGTACCTAACTGTGCTGTGTTAAATTGGTCTATAAGTGTTGTTTTTGCCACATGAAAACATTGCCTGTTTTCTAGTTCATGACAGTCACATGGGAGGAAGTAGGGGGAGGGCAGTACTGTAGCGCTGTCAGATTGCCTTCAATATTGCCTGAGCAGAGGTTGCTTGTGTTTATTTTCTTGGTCAGTTGGGAGCTTTATGACATATTATTTTTAAACCAAGGGTTTTTGTTTTTTTTATATATATTTTTATTGATTTCAGAGAGGAAGGAAGAGGGAGAGAGAGATAGAAACATCAATGATGAGAGAGAATCATCGATTGGCTGCCTCCTGCACGCCCCCCACTGGGGATCGAGCCCACAACCCGGGCACGTGCCCCTGACTCTGGAATTGAACCTGGGACCCCTCAGTCCGCAGGATGACGCTCCATCCACCGAGCCAAACCGGCCAGGGCTAAACCAAGTTTTTAAAAAAGATCAAAACTAATTGTAAAAACATGTTACATGCAAATTACATTATTGATCTTCTGAGAAGTATGTGTTTTCTGTTGTTCTTTTGCTAAATAGAATGTTATTCATACAAATTGAGGATTTTAAAGAGATTTTTTTAATAATTGTCTTGTGTGTTCTACAGATTGAAGAGGAAAAGAAAAGAGCTGCCCGAACAGACTACTGGCTACAACCTGTATGTATTCAGTTGGAGTGTCTTAAGTTCTAAATGTAATTTCAAGTGAATGATTACCAAATTTCAAGTAGTATTTGGTATAAATGACTAAATTTCTCAACTGTATATAAACTACATAGATAGATATAACTTCAGTAAGTTTTGTTTCTATTTGATCTTTAATTATTGGTTGCACCTGTATTGGAGGGTTACTTCATTGTTACTTCATTGTTACTTCATTGTTAATATTCCTTGAGTTTAATGCTAAACTTGTTTATGGCACCTTGAATTTAAGCCTGCAATTATTTTCCATTTTTTGCCGTAAGACGAAAGATTGTAGTTTCAGAAATGGGATTAAATAGAATTGTAAATGCAAAAGTACTTGTTTTCAACTTACATCTTATTGAACTTAGGGTACCCATTTATGTACTTTATACAAAAATAAAAAGGTTTTAATTTTACAAGGAAAGACTTGTATTTTGTTGCTTACTTATTATTGCTTATTATTTTAAGATAATTTTATAACAATTTGTAAATATTTGAATAATTTTAAAATTATTATTGATTGATACTCTGTTTTCAACTTACTGAGATGTGGAGTTCCCATAAAACCTTCAGAGTGCCTTCGTTATTCTTAAAGAAGTTGGTTTGGTCAATAACAGGAGAGTGAAAAGTACTGTGCTATTTAGAGAATTTCTGATTTGAAAAATAAGAGTAGTAATAACCTCAGAGGTCAAGAAGTTCAAAGTTCTGATTCAAATCTTCATAGTCATTGTCTCACTAGCTTGGAAATAATTTAGCTTCCATGATTTACTTTATATTTGTATATAATGGGAAACATTTCTACCTTAGGATCACATGACAGATGATGAAATAAGTTAATACAAAAATACTGTTAAATATAAAATACTTATTTTAGATAAATTATTTTAGTTAATTCTCATGTAATCCCTATAAGGTAATTATTGTTATTCCAATTTTGTAGGTGAGGAAACTGAGGCATAAAGTATTTGAGTAATTTCCTCAGGGTCATTTAGGAAGTGGTGAGCCAGGATTTTCCTGGCAATCTGATTCAGTGGGTTGTATTCTCAACTAGTAAATAGTACTGCTTCCTGGAAAACTTTAGTCACCCTGACTTTGTCTCTGAGTAGAATTTGGGTCAAGATTATTAGTAAAGGAAGGACATGTAGGGAAGAGACCATCCATAAATTGTATTAGTTTCCCCTGTTAAAGTAGCTAGCATTTGAACATTTATGAAAATGTAATCAAGAATTGTGATTAAATGCCCTTGCTGGTTTGGCTCAGTAGATAGAACATCAGCCTGTGGACTGAAGGTCCCAGGTCCAATTCCAGTTAAGGGCACGTGCCTGGGTTGCAGGCTCAATCCCCAGTATGGGGCATGCAGGAGACAGCCAATCAATGATTCTCTCTCATCATTGATTCTGTCTTTCTATCCCTCTCCCTTTCTCTCTGAAATCAATAAAAATGTGTTTTTTTTTAAAGAATTGTGATTAAAGCAGTAGTTAATTCTTAACCATGAGTGATTAAGAAAGTTTTTATCCTATGCTTACAGTACCTCCGTCTCTATAATAGCAAACATCATAGAACAGTTTATTACATGTACTTGTCCTCTGGACACAGAAACTTAGGCTACAGTAAGCCATGGGATTTCAAAATACACCTGATTCAGTACTCCCACCATCCAGTGTCCTGGAGTGAAATGCACATTTTCACTACCTCCCAGGTGAATCTTATATGTACCCTTGGTTAAGAACCATTGTTTTAAAGGAAAAAGAAAACAAACTAAAAGAAAAAAGGCAAAACATTCCAAATTTTACTTAGTCTAAAAATTCTCTTCCTATTGACAAAACTTAAAATTAAATTTTATTTTCTGCTGTTAATTTTCTCATATTGTAAATTATTGAGCTTTTCTGCATAGTTCCTTTTACAGAGTGTTACATTAAAAATGATAATGATTCAGTGTGTTTCTTATTTTGCAAAGGGCATTATGTTTATTAAAATAGCTAGTAGTCCACAGAGATAGATTGGAGAACTTCATTTTTTGAACTCAGAAAAGAAAGGTTTTGAACAGATCTATTTCGAGCAAGTGTCATTAAGTCCAATGATGTAATGAACTGTCTTTAAATGAAGGCCTTAGAGAGATTTAGATTTAGCCCAGAAGTCCTCTGGCTGAATCAGAGAAGCTGTTTTGATGCTTTTTGGTTTCATTTAGAAAGTCTTAGTAAAACAAAAGCTTAAGAGTCTTCTCTCTTTTTCTTTTTTTTTCCCCTCTCAAGTCTTCTCTCTTTTTCTTATTTTTTTCAAGTCTTCTCTTAAACATGTTTATCATCCCCCAAGGTCCTTACTGAATTTTTGTTCATACAGTTTTTAGTATGGTTTAGTGAAGTACTCATGACCATCTACAGGGGTGGGGAACGTCTGGCCTGCAGGTCATATAAGTCCTGAGAAATTAAGTAAGGCCAAGGCATTACAAGTGAGTTAATTAAATGTTTGACCAAATATAGCAGGTTAATTTTTAAGTTGATAATTTTGTATAGCCCTCGAATGATGTTATAAATATCCAATGGCCCTTCACAGAAAAAAGGTTCCCCACCCTTGATCTAGTACCTCTTATTGTTAATTGAAGTAGCAAATGTAGAATTACTGTAGTGAATATAGCAATAAGTTAGATGGTTTAATTTCCATTATCAGCCATTACACAGCTAATCCACATCAGGAAACAACAATGAAGAAGCAAACTCTGAATGCATTAATATTAAATAAACCCAGATTTCTCTCACATTTGAGAATTAGACCAGTACTTTTAGCTGGAGCTAATGTTGGAGGTATCTCATCTGTATCAAAAATTGAAAGCAACATAATGAGAAAAGAACACTGTAGACCAGGGGTCCTCAAACTACGGCCCGCTGGCCACATGCGGCCCGCTGAAAACATTTATCTGGCCCGCTGGGTGTTTTTGCCGCCGCTGTGTGCATAGGAATTTGTTCATAGTTTTTTTTTAAACTATAGTCCGGCCCTCCAACGGTCTGAGGGACAGTGAACTGACCCCCTGTTTAAAAAGTTTGAGGACCCCTGCTGTAGACAGTGTCATGTCCTGAGGATTCCCAGTGAGACTCTTGCCATTTGCATTTTTATCAGTAGTGAATACCACAGTATAACATCCTTAACACTTTTCACTTCCTTAAGTGGATAGAGAGAAAGAAGCTGTTTATGAAGGACATGAGTTAAAAGAGTTGAGGTTTATAGATAAAAGTCCTAGATTTCGCCCTGACCAGTTTGGCTCAGTGGATAGAGCATCAGCCTGTGGACTGAAAGGTCTCAGGTTCGATTCCGGTCAAGGGCATGTACCTTGGTTGCAGGCATATCCCCAGCAGGAGGTGTGCAGAAGGCAGCTGATCGATGTTTCTCTCTCATCCATGTTTCTGACTCTCTGTCCCTCTCCCTTCCTCTCTGTAAAAAATCAATAAAATATATTTAAAAAAAAAAAAAAAGTCCTAGATTTCAAGAAATCTTTACTATGGAAATCAGCCATTAGATATATATTTTTTCCTCTTGGTAGCTGTATTTAATAAAAAGAGAAAGAAGGAATGAAAGATTACTAAGGAAGTGCCATTGTTGGGAACACTTACAACTCCAAATTTTATTATTTAGCAGAGCAGTCACATTTTATGATGATTTTTGGTGAACACAGTTTAAAATGAAGGAGTAAAACAGAAAAATAATTTCTTTCCTTTTTTGTTATTTTTAGGAAATAATTGTGAAAATTATAACCAAAAGACTTGGAGAGAAATATCACAAGAAAAAAGGCATTGTTAAGGTAAGAACATGAAGTTAAAAATGAAATTTGTGAAAGGAGTTGTGGGTGACTGAGTAAATCCATTTTGATACTCCTTAAAAATCAATTCCTAGTAGCAGAAAGCAAATGTCTAAGGTACTTGACGGTTCTATAAAAGGAAAGATGAATTCATAATCATTGGAGAAATAATTCATTTTCAACCATTGTTTATACTTAATCTCTGTTTGCTTTCTTACTGGAGCAAATAGTATGTATCAGATCCCATTGGCACCTCTTAGACTCAGTGTGCACACCTTGCTAGTCAGAAAAATGCATTCTCTTTGATGATGATGGGCAATATAATTGTGCCCCCCGAGTTCTAAGGAGTCCTCTCGTGTGTTTTGCCCTAAGAGAGTATCTTTTGACTGCTCTAGGATTTTAAAACTTAATAATCAACATTCCAGTCCTTTCTTCCCTTTTGTTTTTCCTAAATATAGCTCATTTCAGCACCCAGCCTGTGCATGCATAAATAGCCCTTCCACTGTCCTTGAAGCTAGGTGAAATTATCCCTCTCACTATATTTCTTAAAATCTTATTCTGATATCACCAGTTTTTATTCTTTCCAGATGAAAACCTTAACCTAAGCTTTGAATTGAATTCTTTATTAAGAACCATAGACTAAGAAATAGTAAATGGTTTCTAGAAAATAGTGTTGTTTATAGAAGGAATTACTCTTTTGATTGGAATTTCATTTCTTTTTATTTTATTTCTGTGGTTGTTTTTTTTAAATTTGTGTTCCACATATCTCTTCTATTATAAAAGTGTTGATTTTACATGACAGGAAGTAATTGACAAATATACAGCTGTTGTAAAGATGATTGACTCTGGAGACAAGCTGAAACTTGACCAGACTCATTTAGAAACAGTAATTCCAGCACCAGGTAAATCTTTTTGCAGACTATTTAATGCATATGCCATCGACATGAGTGATTCTGTTCATTAAACCAGTTTTTTTGATATTACTTGATAGTTATAGATACAAGTTTCCTTTTTAGAAATACTATATAACTGCTAACATATAACTATATAACTGATCCTATTTGACTTGGTGATATGGTAGTTTTCCAGTTTTCTGAGAAAGCTTTTTGTATCATGAACAAGTTTTCCCTTCCTGGATTTTTTTTTCCCCCAGAAGCAAAACACAGACATATCTAGAGAAATTGAATCATATTAGAGTTATCCTATATAATAAAAGAGGGATATGCTAATTAGCCCTGATATGCTAATTAGTCATGACCAGTATGCAAATTGACCATCACTGCAACACACAAGATGGCCGGCAGGGGAGGGCAGTTTAGGGGTGACCAGGCCTGCAGGGGAGGGAAGTTGGGGGGAACTAGGCCTGCAGGGGAGGGCCATTGTGGGGGACAAGGCCTGCAGGTGAGGGCAGTTGGGGGTGGCCAGGCCTACATTGGAGGGCAGTTGGGGAGGGGACCAAGCCTTATGCTAATTAGCCCTGATATGCTAATTAGTCATGGCCCGTATGCAAATTGACCGTCACTGCAAACACACAAGATGGCCTGCAGGGGCGGGCAGTTTAGGGGTGACCAGGCCTGCAGGGGAGGGAAGTTGGGGGTGGCCAGGCCTACATTGGAAGGCAGTTGGGGAGGGGACCAGGCCTGCAAGGGAACAATTAGGCGTCGATCAGGCTGGCAGGGGAGCAGTTAGGGGGTGATCAGGCTGGCAGGCAGAAGTAGTTAGGATGAGGTAGG